GCAGAATTCGGGTGAGTGACCAGCACAATGTTTGCCCCGATTTTTGATTGAATCGTTCCTGTGGAGGGTAGTGGAAGGAGAAAGAGGCAGGTTATGCAAAGAGATATATGCCCTCGGGGTATATTTGCCTCCAACCGCTGACCCTTTGAATCTGAATTTGAGCATTTATCAGCAGATTTTTCACTTCTAGCTCTCCCCGATACACAATTCCTCTTCAAAGACCCTTTATGAGGGCCCAAAACACCGAATCACGCTTTTCGGGGATATTCTGGTTCCCGATTCTTTACGGGTTTCTGGTGCTCAGTCTTTTATTTTCAAACTCTTGTTTCGAATTTCCGGCCTTTAGTAAAGCCCAACAGGCAGATTCACCGCGTCTTCAAAGTGCATTGCTTGATTTTACAGGTTCTAGCTCAATACTACGCGTAGCTACTCTGAACCGGTGTCGAAATTTTGTTAGGTACCGTATGCTAGGAGGCCGTGAAATAGAGTTCGGCCGTGAAACCTTGAGAAGTGCAAAAATTGGCTAGAGGAGAGGCAGAGGGTGGAATGCGAAAGATAGAGATAGACAGCTAGTGTGAGAGAGAGCAAGAGCGGGGAGAGAGAGAGTGAGAGAGAGCGAGAGAGCGAGAGAGAGCTAGCTAGACAGAAGTCCTCGAGTTCGACACCAGTCCTACCGATTTTGGCCATTCATCAGAGTGCGCCAGGGGAGGTGGATGCGCGATTAGGGCGCCCCCAGGCCTCGTCAGCCTGGGGTGACCGATGAGGGCATGGGAGCCCGACTTTAATTAATCGCCCTGAAACCGTAATTTGACAAAAAACGGTCCAGGCTACGCGGGTAGGTAGGACACCCAAAAAAAACAAAAACAAAGCAACGGCTCCGAACGGGGGTCGAACCCGGGCCTTGAGGATGTCAGGATAGCGCACTACCAATCAGCTAAGCGCCCAAAATTAGATAAGTCGATTTTTTGCAATTTTCTACAATTTCTGATCCGTGTTTTGATGAGTCCTCCTCTTCCTCCTCCACTGAATCTAATAAGAAATTCCGCAAAATAGCTAGCTTACATTACTCATCGTCCGGCCGGGGGCCATTTCTCATTTTCCCACGCCTCCTTATTTGCAATTCCCTCCCCCCTCTTTTCCGCTTTGTGCGGCTCGTGCCCCCAGGTTACCCGACCACCCCAATTTGCATATTTTGCGCGAAACCGCGGCAAATGATAAGGCCGTGTTGGTGTTGAATTCAGAATTGGCGGATTACCGTAGTAGAGGAGGCGCAGAATTTACGCTTTAGCTCGGTTATCGCACTTACACGATAAAGTTAGCAACAAGCTGTTTTCTACCGTAACCCAATGGCAAATTTTTAATGTGAGAAAAATTACTGAAAAGGTGACTTTAACTTTAACCTTTATAACTTCATTCATTCTTCTTCATCAAAAGCTGCTGCAACAAAAACTGTCAAAATACTTTATATATTACTAACAGATACATCGGTGGAAGAATAAAATGCCCCCCCCCGCTAACAGGCCAGTACCCAAGTTTCTACCGTAGCCCATCTTTCAACAATTTTTGGGGGTACGTTTCATTTTTTTTGGGAGTGCCCGTCTGTAGGTAGGTTTGACTGTTTCTTACCGACGATCCAGCCTTGCAAGGATTTTGCCCTATCCTGGGCGCTTTCTCCCTCCCTCTCTCTCGCTCCCTCCTGGAAAGTGAGAACCCCATCTTGGGTGATGCTCCTCCCCCCTCTGGCTACCACCACCTAACACCTCCAGCCCCCCGCAATCGCCGCCACCCGAATTTCAGTCCTGATCCCCCGGCTAATTCCTGGAAATGTTTCGAACTATGGGATTTGCCCAAAAAGGTACCTCTAAGTTTAAAACTTGAATTTTTGGGTACGGCATTTTAAGCCTGTTAATGGGACTGGGAAGCCAGAAATTTTTCGTCAATCCGGGTCATTCTATTTTTATTGTCGTTTGTGTTGCTCCTTGCTTTTTCATCTTTTATGCTTGCCTCTTCCTCCACATTTTTTTTATTTTTCCCTGATTTTCTAAGGCTTTTAAAGGGACCGGAAAGGCAAGGGTTTGGAAATGGAAGGTCAAGGCCGGTCATTAAATTTTTTCTTTTTCCTTGCTTTTGCTTCTTGCTCCTTGCTTCTTCTTGCTCCCTCGTGATCCCTACTTATCACTGACATTTCTTTGTTGTTCTAGACAGCTTTTGTTGACCGTTTTTAAAGGGACTGGGAAGGCACGAAAGCCACAAAATTTGCAAAAATTTGAAAACGAACCGACTCCTGGCTCTGAGTTATTTTTGCTCCCTGATCCTTGCTCCTTTCTCCCTACTTTCCTACCTCCTAGCACCCTAAAACTTGACCCCCTGACCCCCCATCTAGCTCTCAAAAAACTTGGAACAATGCTGAGTCCACTTCCCTTCTGGAGGGCATCTTTTTCCAGCTTCTCCTCCTCGACATCTAATGATCATCTCCTCCCCTCTCGACCCCATCAAATCGCTCAATTATGGACTCTCTCCCACACCGTTCCTATGTATTGCCTTGTACTCATGCTGGAAAAGGGCGAGGGAAAAGCTGGATGGCGAGGATGACCTCTTCCTTTTTTGGCTGGAGATATCAGCATCCAGGGGAACATGGGAAAGGCGTCATATTCTAGAGGTTTTTAAGTGCTTATATTCACTTTCTGGATCTCGCTCACTCTCTCTCTCTCTCTCTCTCTCTCTCTCTCTCTGTCTGTCTCTCCCTCTCTCCCCACATAAAATAACGCTCTGTCCACTTTCTCTAGCCCTCCCCTCCAGCCTTACCGTAATTATTGCGATTCCGCGACGCTACGCTAGCCTTACGATGATTTTAAAGGGACTGACAAGCTAAAATCCCAATTTCTAAAATATTCAAGTATGATCTCTTCAACTGCCGGGTTTTTAAAGGAACTTGGAAGGCAAAACCTCCGTTTTTCCGTTTCGAAATTCCTCTCATTTTTCGTGTATTTTCCCTGCAAAAATCATTGTTTATTTTATTTTTCCATGATTGACTCATTTCTGCCACCTTCATTTCTCTCTGAATCGCTAGAATAATTTCGAAAATAAGGCGTAATTAGTCACCAACTGGAAAAAGGGGGCTAGGAGCATTTTTATCTGCCCTCAAGCGAGAATCTATTTTCCTTGTTTTTCTGCTGACCGATACGGTATAAAAAAAGCTTCTCCAGCAAATATTTTCCTTTTGTGCGCCTGCCGGGGGCAATTGACCGTGTGAAATTGTAGAGGGGTCATCATATAGAATCATAGACTTTTGCGTCTCTCTCGCCTCTCTCTCTCTCTCGCTGTCTCTCGTTGTATCTCTCTGTCTCTCTCGCTCTCTCTCGCTCTCTCGCTCGCTCTCTCTCGCTTTCGCTCTCTCTCACTCTCTCTCTCTCTCAAAACGGCTTGGCAACGGCAAGCTAGCAGAGATTCTTGCGTAAAATTGAGCTCAGCTAATTTTTGTTAAAGCCTACATTTCTATGCATTAATAGCAGGCATCTGGACCCCAGTTTTTACCTTCCTAGTCCCTTTAATTTGCCGATTACGCAATGCGCCTATGGACGATTTTACAAGCTACAAAAAATCGCGGCTTTCCCTTGCTATTCCTGCCCTGACTCATTGCCTTAATTGGCGACGGAAAAGCCGTTCGGTGGCTGCATTTTCTTGCTGTCTCTCGCTCTCTGTCTCTCTCTTTCTCTAGCTCTCTCTCTCTCTCTACCCTAACCCCCACAAATCCTGTTCTCACAAAACACTCATCCCGCCTCATCACTTGTCTCGTTCTTTCTTAAAAAACGATCATTTCCGCACCCCCAGAGGGATGAGGGTTACGGTAGAAAGAGCGTAAGATAAACAACCGCCAGTGATTAGTCATTCCCACAAAAGAATTACCCCGTCTAATCGATGATTGATATGGCAGGCCGAGATCTGACAAATATTCTGGGCCAACGATATTTATAGTGCTCTATAAAGGATAGGTGTGGAAGGGAACTTATCTCATTTTCAGGCTACGGTAGTTTCCAGATTTCCGGTTTTTCAAATTTACTGGAGTATAACTTTTAAAATTACCATCATTCCTGATATTCAACTGATTACGCTATGGAATTGTAAGAGAAAGAAGCCGATAGAGATAGATCGAGCGAGAGCGAGAGAGAGAGAGAGAGAGAGAGAGAGAGCGAGAGCGAGAGAGAGAGGGAGGGAGAGAGAGCGAGAGGGAGGAGGAGATAGATAGAGCGAGAACGAGAGCGAGAGAGAGAGAGAGAGAGAGAGAGAGAGAGAGAGAGCAAAAGAGAGAGAGTACAAGAGAGAGAGAGAGCAAGAGTGAGAGAAAGCCAGGGAGCGCGAGAGAGAGCAAGGCATGTAACGTCTCGGAGTCCTCCCTTTTTTATAATCGGTTTTGATACCCAAAAACCAGTCTTCCCGAATTCCTAACTTCAAATTTCGCATATTTCTTGTCAAATAATTTTAACCGGCCGATAGAACTTGATTGTCCGGGGGGTGACGGCCAGATAATTGGGGTGAAACGAGGTGAGTCGCACTCCCCCTCACGCCCCCTTCGAATTCTTCGCGCGCGCATGCAGATATCGAGCAGAGAGAGAGAGAGAGAGAGAGAGAGAGAGATTCGAAATGACAGACAAACACCGACAACCGCATCCCCCCTACCCACCTAATCGTGATAAGCCGAATGCTAATTTCTCCCCCGCGCCGCGTGTCGACCCCAACGGAAAGCCGGATTTTTGTGGGGTGAAAACACCCCCCAAATTTTCTGATTAAAGGTTTAATCTGATAATCTCTGTTCTCATTTATCTATTGGTTTTCGCAACTTTAAAGTTAGGAATTGGGAATTTTTATTTTTCTGTTTTAGAGGAGAATTTTCTAATGTTTTTTTTCAATTTTTTTCGTTTCACGATGCTATTCTTGAAAATTACAGTTTTATTTACAATATCGATTTTTTTAGAATGTTAGATCCACCACTGGAACGAAGGATGGGTCGACTACTTTCTATAGCCTCATTTCTACTATTACTACGGACCGCGATTTGCATACCTCCGCCACCAAATGTGAGTTACGGTATAGGAAATTCGGATCTTCTGGGGTGGCGGGTCAAAAGCAACTACCGTACGCTGGCGTCTGCCTACAGTAACCGGCCCACGAGAAAAATCAGGCGTTTTGACTTCGTTTTTAGGTGACATTGGCCATTTGCCAGAAGATTCTGAAACGAGTTTCTCAAAGAAACGCATTTCCGATCCCTTTAAGTCTAAAAGTCTTTTTAGAACGGTGCTCCGTGGCGCTCCTATGCACGCGTCTCCCCGCCACATTGCACGAATCCGCCGATCAGTACGAATGCGCCAAGTTTGAGTAGGTATTTGGATCCCTTATTTCTCTCGCTCTCTCCCTTCTCTCTCTCTCTCTCTCTCTCTCTCTCTCTCGCTCTTTCACACGCTTATTCTATAGCCTATTTTAGGTGCTCCGTCAGCAATCCACAAAGAGCTCCAATACATGAATTTCGACATCGGGCTCCACCAGACCGTTTGCTTCCGGATGGAAGGAGCAGGTAGGAATTACTGGTGCTCAGGGTAATGGCAGGCTGGCAGAGATCTTTGAGGACTTCTGGAAAAATCGTTTTTCAGATTCTGACAACAGAACCGAGCACCAATCCTGGCTGCACACCATCAAGCTCGACGAGTTAGAGCACCACCACCCGGTAAGCCAGTCTCTCTCTCTCTCTCTCTCTCTCTCTCTCTCTCTGTCTCTCTCTCTCTCCCTCAATCTTCTTCTTTGAGGTCGAGCAACAGTACGAGTTCGCGATCCCCGACCTGAACGTGTCGTGCATCTGCGAGTGTGAGAGCAGCGACAAGTGCAACGCCGACCTCTACGAGTACAAGGAGTGCCCGAGTTTCAAGAATAGCCCGGTACGAGATATTTAATTTTTATTAAAGGTACTGGGAGCTAGATTTTCTTAGCGTTACGGTCCCTTTAAAACAGCAAAATTCCAGACCGTCTCCTGCTACCGTACCTTCTTCACCTCACAGTCGTCCAGCGGCTGCTCCTCCGGCGACACCCCAAATTTATGCTGTGAGGTCGAGGTGGGTCTACCTACTGTCTTGGTCGTTTTAAATAAATGAAAATTGGTCAATAGGTTTTTTTTAATTTTGATAATGAGCTAACTTTCAGCTGCGCCCGTGGCAAGACCGCAGCTTCACCGCCATCAAGATCAAGCAGCCGCAGACGTTCGGCACGTTCGTCTACACCGCCTACGATTTTCAGGTGGGCGCAAGACTACAGAGTACAAAACACAAAGCACAATGACGTAGGGTGTAATGTACAACGTCTGAATTTTCTTCTAGAACCTAAAAATTTGCACTGAAAAGTTTATAGCCTAGACCCTAGACTACAAACTTTTGCTGATAGACCATATAAACCATAAGGCTTTAATCATAGGCTACAAACTACAAACTAGGCTGTAAACTACAAAATTCTAGACGACAAACTACATGTCGAAACTTTCCTACGAGATTTCATCTCCTAGGAGTTTCGAGGATGAATTACCTGGGATAATAGGGGTTGGCAACCTGCCAAGGGTCCCGCCGCGATGACCTATACGGTAGCGGGCTGTGCGAGCGCTCTCCCGGCGCTCTCTGAGATTATGCTTGCATATTCCCCCGCTATCCCGAAAGGGTGTTGCGGCCAGTCGTTGCTTCGGCACGGCTTGGTGAGAGTGCTGTGAGCCGGGGACGTGGTTTACCACTATCCGGAGCACAGTAAACCTCTGGCGAATGCAACCTTTCGACACCCTTACCAAACTTGGCCCGCCTGGCCTTCGCCACTTGTAATTCTCCTCAGACACCTTTTATCATGTGCCGATTATATTCCGTCACTGTTCTAATAAACATGTTCTCTTAATCCTTTGCAGGTCTTTAGCAAATGCACTTTATTACTACCACTGAACACCGAACGCGCATAACTGATAATGAGTGCAGACAGGGCCGGAAGACTGAGGTGGCAATCCGGGTCCTCCCTTGGGGATTTATTCCTCTTGGTGTATTTACACTCTGGGAGGGCTCGGAGGCTCAATCTTTTCGACATGGTGCAGTCGAGCCGTAGTGATCACCGGGCCACTCGTCATTTGCCTTTTGCCGTTGACCTGCTCAACCTCGACATACGGATATATTACCCGCGACACTCGCTTTTTTTCTTCGACACCACTGCCGGCCAGCAGTGTTTTGCGATGGATGGACACCGACATTTTGTCTGCCGAGCTCAAGACACCTTCCTTCTCTTTGGACCCCTTTTGCCGAGGCATTCAAGCTTTATGGAATCTGACAAGGGATGAAGTTTAGTAAGTTTGTGGTAAGCATTGGGCGAAAACCCAATATTGGTTACCTTTACCGTTTTGGTGAATTTCTCGGCTCTTTGAGCCAGTTTTTCAGAGAAAATCAGGATATGGACGATGGATGCTGTGTTACCATGCCGCCCCAAGATGGGGAGAGGTGCGCGGCTGCAGTTGAAGTTTTTCAAGGAATGATGGAAGTTAATGTCGTCCAGCCGTTGCGAAACTAGAAGAAAAAGCGAGCGGAGCAATCGGATGCATTTTTAAAAGGTTTATTTGGTTTTACTTTTGTCTTTTCCAGGGCGAAAAGAGTTTTAATCGTGTCCAATGGTCATCGCTGGCGGTTGCGGTGCTCTAGAGAATGGGACGACCTCGCTCCACGTGCTGTGAGGCGCTCTTCACCAAGCATCGACAACCTTTGGCCCCAACCTACCCAAGAAGGATGCGGGCGACATGGCGTGATCAGTGTGCGAAATGGTCGACGACAATATGGGCGCTTCCATCAATGCAACTTCGTTCGACTACAAGCCTACAAGCTTCAAGTCGACACCAAGCGCTGCCCAAGCCTTTTTGCCGTTCGACACAAGTTTTTTTTCGACACTCGACACTCCTCTACGAGGTGTTTTCGACACCAACAGCCTTGAGAAAGCTGTTTGCGTGTTCGAAACACTGGCCGATCTACATATGCGCTCACTCTACACTTCTGCCGATGCGTCAACACTTCTGCTGAGTGATGTGCACCAACTTCTCATCAACTACGACAATTTTTTCGAGGTGATATTGCCCCACAGCCTTGAGAAAGCTGTTGGTGTTGCAATTTTTACTGGCCAATCAATTTGCAGTTAGGCGCTGACTTTATCTCACGACATCGGGCGTTTGCAAAGAAGAAATCGACACTCGTTGCCTCGGTGCCCGACACTTTATCGCAAGCTCTTCCTGCGCTTCGACAAGGTCTCATCGATGGCGACGCGCGCTCAATGACAACCCGTGCTGCACAAGAAGCTGATCAAGATTGCGACTACACGACTACAAACGATGGGCAAGAAACGAAGCATGGACCGCCTGAAGCGAACAAAGCCACTTTTCTTTCTACCCTTCGCCGAATTGATTCACATTTCTATCCGCGTCTTCCTCTTCTGTACAAATACTTTTTGCACACGCTTTGACATTTATTTACTTTTCTTTTTGTGCGACACCTTGAATTACTTTGGAAGTTTATCTTCCTTAGTTTTTCAAACCCGACACCCGGCTTTGCGCCACGCGACACTTGGCTTATCGCCGCTCGACACTTGGCTTGATGCCGCCCGACATTCGGCTTCACATCGTGCAACGTCTGGTCGACTTCCGCTCGACATCAAGCAGCCTGCCGCGTGTTCCACAACAACTGATGGCTCAAGAAGCTGCTCTATGGAAGAAGGTTGCTGCTCAAAGACGTTGCCCTTCGCTCAATGCTCGATGGACATGCCAAGCATCTACTACCGCACATTCTACTTCGTTGAATCGAAACGGATGTGCAAAAGTAAAGTTATTTTTGAAATTTTGAGAGCGCCACCTACGATTCGTCGCTAAGGTTGGCCAAGATGATTCGAAATTTTTGAAATTTCGTTTGCTTGCCCGAAAAACTTCTACGTTCGCGAACTTCGACTAATTTTCGGGTATTGTCATTCGTTTTTTCAAATGTTTCTTATCGTTTTCTCAAGGTTTTGATTTGGCTTTTCACTTTTGTTTTCCCGCTTCGCCTGTTGTACAACTTAGAGTTTATCTCTACTTTGTATAACATTTTTTAGACACACGGTGGTGATGTGACATTTGGTTCCGGGAGACACTTGCTGCCGAATGGCCGTCTACTCGTCATCTATCTACTGACATGGCTGATGTGATGCACAGTTCTATCTGCGCTCTTCAACTGGCACAACTACACAGCAGGCAGATGGTCTTCAACACATTTGCTGCCCATGGCCGCCTGTCCGTCGACTATCTGCCGCTCGCCCGCCGCTGATGTTCGTCGTCTCCCATCACAATGCCCGACAACGAGACTGCTTCACGCCGTTCTTCGCTCACCATGCGCCCAACGCTGCTCGCCAACTCGCCCAGCTACGCAGACAACATCCGCCTGGCTACGCCAACTGCAAGCCTTCTCTGCCATGTTCGACAATGCCGTGTCTGCTACTGCTGCTCACCACCGTACTCCAAGGTTGCCGTTTGCGACAACTGACACATGGCAATGGAGATTCATGAGGCGACACTCAAGCTGGCACAAGGACAACGACATGCCGAGCAACTTCGCCGCTTCGCGCGTCTACTTTTGCCGAAACCGGAAGATCAGTTGCACTCGAAGCCACAATTTGCTGTTCGACAACGTCATCATCCACATGGTCGTCACCTTCCACGACGTTTACTTGTCAATCGACACCGCCGCCAACGTTGCTTACTTCTACAGGTCCAGTGCCAGATGCTCATCGGTCAAGATATTCTGCCAGAGCTTCGCGACGTCACTTCTCCGTCATTCCGCTTGCCTTCGGGACGAATCGTCGACTTTCTACAAAGTTCAGAACAGTCATCAGCGGATCCAACCAGGGCAGACGATCTCTCATTCAGAAGCTCAACGACCCGGAGTACGAGGGCAAGGAGGTCATGCTGCCGTATGGCAGACAGACTTACATGCTGCATACTCCGACCTGAGCTGAAGAAGAGGGACACAACTTTACGATCTTCTATTCAGGACCTCGACTAGCCGAAGTACGAGGGCAAGGAGGTCATCCTGCCGTATGGCAGCGAGACTTACGCGCTGCATACTCCGACTCCCGAACCGAAGAAGAGAGACAACCCCTGTACTTTTCATGGAACCACACGCTGACTCCGACTATCCACCCGAGTTCCTGAAATTCAACCGGAAGGCGACAACTGACCGATGGCGCTACAGCAACATCGGAACATACGGAACAACAACACGTTCACACGGAAGAACTCGTCTCTTGCCGCGCTTCGCCACTGTTTCCAGACAGAGTTGCGTTTCTTCGACATCACTGCCAGGGACTCCTCTACCGGATGTCAGCATTCCTGTTGGCCGCTACTCGCATCGCCCAGCACCGCACATTGCTGATGCTCAACCGACTTTTCGCGACATCAAGCCTCTTCGGGGACAACGTCAAGCGGATCTCTTCTTCTGCTCACCGCGTCGCCTTCAACACCTTTTTCAGGCAGCCGCGATCGAACAGAGAAAATGTACCGGGCTTTGCGTCAGACATTTCGAGACGCTTCCGCATTCCGACAACAAGCTGGACAGCCACAACGAACGCTGATCGCCAACGTGATGTGGCTGCAACAGCTGTAGTTCCTTCCGCCGCCCTCACCTTTCAAGAAGCGCCGCCGAATGCAGAATGAATCTACGTGATCGCTGCAACGACATCATCGACACATGCTGGTCAACTATCAAGGCAAGGCTTGAGACATCTGTGCCAGCGACATTCGTTCTTCGTGACACTTGTTGCCACCTTTCCGCCTGCCCGTCGATGACGCCATTCGAATGCTCGCAAACCCTGGCACCGACACCGGCAACTCAAGGCCAACGCTGCGCAAGTCAATTTTCTTCTAGTGGTCGCCATCGTCATGATCACCTTTCAAGTCATCAAGACCCGGGCAAGGCGACAACAATCTTCGAAGGAATGCTGTTGAGACTTGTGCCTGCACAATCGTCTGCGCCATTCCAAGACTTACGACACCGAAATCGGACATTCGATGTTCTCTGCAAGTGAGCTTGCCACATCAAGGATCGTCTGATGCCTGTGACAACTTCCACCTGTTTCTCCTGCCGTACGAGATGCTTCATTCCTCGACAATTCTGCAAGCAGTTCAACACCAGGGACATCGCTTTGTGCCTCGATCAGACTGCTGTCAAGGGTTGTTGGCGCAAGCCAACAATTTCGCGACACTTTCTGTTTGGATGGGACTTACAAGTGCTACGTTCGTCAAGCCGCTACGATGTTTGGACTTCAAGCTACGGTCAGCTACGCCGACGAGTCCTCGATCAAGCTTCCGATCTACGGGCAGCCGCAAGCATATGTTTCCGCTTCGCTTTTGGCCAGACACCGCTCTTTCCAGAGGTTTATTTGGTTCCCTTTTTCTCAGATAAGCCGAATGCGAGAGCAAGCCAGAGCGTAGCGACACTTCAAGCCTTTGCTGACGCTATCGGAGGCGACTACATTTTCTTCGGCGGGACAAGACATCGGTAGCTGGTTGACAAACGCTTCGCGGAAGTGCGATCGACGCATGTTCAACTTATGCCTGATCAACTTCGTCACCGCCTGAATACTTGCTCGCTCGCCGACTACTGCTGTACTGCGTCGACAACATCCACGCCTGAGGCTATGATGCATCGAGCTCGACAGCAAGTTTACCAATACTGCTGCGCCCCTACCTGCTTCATCGACAACATCCACGCCTACCAATTGTTCGGCGACACTCGTACCACGCCGCACTACGATCGTCAGCAAGAATCTGCCAACGTTTCGTCTATTGCCGCTTTCGAACGCCAGCTGACAACGAGCGCGCCTGTCAGTTCATCGGATTGTCGCGACACGAAAGTGCCTCATTTCTACATTTCACCAAACGTTCGTACACAAGGAATGGATCATGGACGACATGCAACAAGAAGGACGCGCTCATCATCAAGCTGTCCACACAGCCATCTGCGAATCGCCAATTTACTTGCTCGGCTCTACCATCTGCCAGTCCAGCATTTGCGAAGCCGCCGGGATAATTTTTTTTCGATACTTTCTGGAAAAAGCTGCGACACGCTGTGCAACAATGCGGACACAACACCACTCTCTTCTACATCTGCGGCCGCCAAACACAATGCCGCTACGGTCGACTTCGCTTCAGGATGATGACAAGATCAACACCTCCTGCGCCGACTGTCTCTACGACCGCCGGTTCCCGACAACAATCCAAGTTTCACCAACAGCTTCGGCGGCTCGGTCGACTCCTCAACATCAGCGGGTCGAGTCCTATGCCACTGTTTGCTGCTGGATTACTCAGGTTTTCTTTACCTAAAAATATGCTCATTTGTTGCTGCGGGACATCGTGCTGAAGAAAGAGACACTCGTGGGAAGCGTGCGACACCTGGCAAGCCTGCCAGTTATAGCGACTTCACAAGCCTCCCGCGTCATCTACGACAGTCAACTAGCTGCGTTTGCCCTTCGCCATGATCGCGACAAGATGCTTCACACTACAACGTTCAAGCTGATCGCTTCAACGTGCACCACATCAAGCTGCGCGATGACGCTTTACAAGAATACCTCCGTTGCTGCCGTCTACAAGCTACACCGGCTGCATCTCATCCCAAGTGCCACTCCACCATTCGGCTGACACATGCTCCGCCGATTACAAGTCATCTGAGCGGCGTCACAGCGACAACATGGCTTCACGCTCCGCAATTCTCCTGCTTTCGCGCCAGACTTTGCCCCATCCTCGAGGTGCTGACTACAACAACTTCTACAATCAAGCGGCTTGTGAGATGGTGTTTTCGAGACAGCTGGCCCGCGTTGCAACACGGAGCTGGTCTCGCCTTTGCGCAACTCGTCTCTTCACCCCGTCTACAAGCCCGACTTGCCTCCACAACTTCGCCTCGTCTCCTGGAAGGATGAGTCAAGCTCAAGTTTAGCATGATTCTGGCCGCCTCCTCGACAAGTACGACTACGGCGGTGACATTCCGTTGCGATCACCACTGCCTCTTCGATTTCTTCGACTTCCGGCGTATCCGCCCTACAGAACTTGGGCCGCCGCGAGCATTTGGATCGACAAGGTTGCATATCAGGATTCTCCAAGCTGGCCGCCCCAAGTGCGACAACTGAGTCGACATCGATTGTTCCTGCATTTCCCTTTCTTCCACCAAGCCGATGGAATACTACATGGACCGCGGACTACTTCAAATGCCAAGTTCATCACTTCAGCTGCTGCTTTCAACCTGCGCGCAGCGACATCGACAACTGTATGCTGCCGCCCCGACTACAGCAGCCGAGCTCCAGCACTTCCGTCTTGACACCAACAGCCGGATGCAAGGCTTCAACACACAAGCGCTCAAGCACGACTCCACTCGACACGAAGCTCCATCAGGCCTCTTCAATCAAACGTCGCCGTTTCAAACTTTCAAGCTCCAGGACAACGACTGTGGATGGACCGCTCGACTGCTGCGCGATGAACCGCTACTTGATGAAGCCGACACTCCTGCACGACTTCATGAGCTACCTACAAAGCGCCTACACGCCATTCTCAAGTTTATGGACCACTACTTGGGCCGCCGCGAGCCGTTCGGTCGACAAGTCCACCATTTCGTTCGACTACTTGCGACAAGTTCAAATCCATCGCGCCGTCAAATTGCCAGCGACAAGACCATGCTGCCGCCCTGACGCGAAGTGCCAACTTCGACTTCGATTTCAAGAAGGCCATCGCACGACGCGCCAACCTTCGTCCCTACCGCGACAAGCCAGCTAGTGCCCCTAGCCAACGCCGAGACGTTATTCAAGTTCGCGTCACCGCCTTACTGCATTACGACATTACCTGGTGACAAGGAGGTTTCGTGAGAGGATTCCTCCCCACCACCACTCGACACCCTCTCAAGGTTCTTCGGAACCTTCGCCATGCCCGCCAACTTCTTCACGTGACTGGCTGCGCAAGATGCAAGAGTACAAGGTCGACAACACTTCGCAAGACGACGTCGACGCGAAGTGCCACAAGCCTCTTCTCGACCGCCAGCCAGCCTCAAGTCCACTACACGCCAGCCGCTGCCGAAAATCCGATAAGTCATTTCCCTCCCCTTTCCCCAGTTGGTTCGGCAGGAGTACGGGCTCCTTAGCGCCGACCAACTATTTTATTGTCAGCTGCCCCTCCCCTAGCTTTTATCTAACCAATTTTCGTCCTCCCGCCCCCACAGTGCAGAACATTTTCTACCATGTAATTGGTCCCTCTGTACCCCAACCTTCCCCCGGGCCGGGCGGACTTGTTTGTAAATCCTTGGGCCGCCGCGAGGCTCCCACTCAACCTCCCCTTGTAAGGTTCCTTGCTCCCTTCACCGGGGGCGGCACTTTCTGGCTCTTGCGCGGGCCGGGAGTGTCGAAACTTTCCTACGAGATTTCATCTCCTAGGAGTTTCGAGGATGAATTACCTGGGATAATAGGGGTTGGCAACCTGCCAAGGGTCCCGCCGCGATGACCTATACGGTAGCGGGCTGTGCGAGCGCTCTCCCGGCGCTCTCTGAGATTATGCTTGCATATTCCCCCGCTATCCCGAAAGGGTGTTGCGGCCAGTCGTTGCTTCGGCACGGCTTGGTGAGAGTGCTGTGAGCCGGGGACGTGGTTTACCACTATCCGGAGCACAGTAAACCTCTGGCGAATGCAACCTTTCGACACCCTTACCAAACTTGGCCCGCCTGGCCTTCGCCACTTGTAATTCTCCTCAGACACCTTTTATCATGTGCCGATTATATTCCGTCACTGTTCTAATAAACATGTTCTCTTAATCCTTTGCAGGTCTTTAGCAAATGCACTTTATTACTACCACTGAACACCGAACGCGCATAACTGATAATGAGTGCAGACAGGGCCGGAAGACTGAGGTGGCAATCCGGGTCCTCCCTTGGGGATTTATTCCTCTTGGTGTATTTACACTCTGGGAGGGCTCGGAGGCTCAATCTTTTCGACACTACAAACTACAACTTTTTCAGGAAGGCAGCTGGGTGGTGAAAGACACCTCCACGATCCGGGTTAGTCTCGATGGAGGTTCACAGGATCGGTAGGGATTTTCAAGTCTTGGTTTGTAGTTTGTAGCTTGTAGCCGAGAGAAATCTGGCTTTAAAGAGAGGGTGACAGCATGCTTTTGCAATTATCTATAGGCTTCAAAAGCTATTTTTCTTCAGAAGCCTCGACTCGCTGCACCGGCTCGAACTCTCCGTCTCTGCCGGCGGCCGCGCGTCCCATCAACTCGAAACCGGCATGTACTTCGCGCCGACGAACCGCGGCTCGAACATCGACGGGCTGCGGCAGATGCCGTTGAATGAGATTGATGACATTAGGTGAGAAACAAATAGAGATTAAATTTTAAATGTAAAAAATAGTAATTATTGAAGATTTTTAATCTAGTAGTTTTGTCTCTCGCAGAGATGTACAAAAGTTGGTGCTCATCACAACTTTACCGTTCTCTTGCTCAGCTACGATCGCCTCGGCTGGTACCGGCGGGACGCCGACCCGAAATTCCGGGCCTACAACGGCCTCGTGCGGTTCCAGCGCGTGCACGCCGTGCAGACGACCGACTGCAAGAATCAGAAGTTCAACAGCTTCCTGGACGCCGCGCACTATGCTGGAAGGGTTGATGCTAATGTGAGTGCAGAAATGGGGTTTTCATGCCGGAAATTTTAGTTTTTCGAAACGCAACGCAAGCGCAGCGCGACTGCGACGCGTTTCAAAGCCTTTATCGAGATTCTAACTTCGATCTCTCGATTCGTCGCTTGAATGCCAAATTTCTAATGCGGTAGCTGGGAGCTAGGTGCTAGGAGATCTGGAAAAGATGAGACCGCTACGTAACAGCGACGCACGTCAATTTATTTTACCGAGACCCCGTCTCAAAAACGAAAGTTTTCCCTTTAAAAGGCGTTTCTGATGCATTAGAGGTGGAGCAGGGAGCATGGAGCTATAAAAATGATAGTCGCGACGCAAACGCGACGCGCGAAATGCTTACTGCAGCTCCAGGCTTCCTAGCTCCCTGAAAATGATCGTTTCAGATCACTCCCAACTTCACACTCCCCCGTACGCTCGAGCAAATCCACCCCTGGATCCGGAAAGCCTATTTCTACGACTGGAAAAAGCCGGGCAGCTCCTCGCGTACCGTGGTTGTCAGCCACACAGAGGGCACGAATCTCAAGATATGGTTGAAAGGTATCGATTTTTTACTAAAATATACTCTAAATCGGCTATTACAAGGACTAAACCCTAAAAAAATTCAAAACTCGAAAAACCTGTTGCTTTAGCCGTCGGAAATAAGGAAAACCCGATCCGGTTCTACCAGAATTCCTCGGCAGTCGCAGATTTCACCGGAACAATCGTCGTAGATGCCAAGAGCAATCGGTTAGTTTTTACAAAACCTAAAACTTAGTTTAATCAGCCTTTTTTTCAAAACAAACCGCCACGATTCGGTTCAATTTTAGCTATTTCAACGTCACCTTCATCGAGGCGTCCGGCAAAATCAACGGCGAAGTGAAGGACGGGCAAGATGTGGATGATCTTTATGTCATGGGGTATGTTTTTAGCCTTAATTTTATTAAATTATACATAAAAACTATTAGAACCAACTTTTAGCTTCACGACCTACATCAACGAGCTCAACCCAGTCAACAAGACGCTGACGATCCCGCTTCCTGCGATCGTTGGGGTAGGAAAATCGATAAATCTAAAAACTATGAGCCAAGATACCTTATGCCTTAGAAAAGATAAAAACAACTAGAATTATTAAGTTTTTAGTGCTTATAATTGCTTACAATTTTAGCCTGGAACTCGCATGATTTGTGTCCGCCCCGATGAGTCTCCGGAAGAGAAGCGAATCTGCCATCTTGTCACCTACCACGAGACCCCGATTGAGGTATCATTCTCGGGGCTTAAAATACTAGTCTAAACGCATCTCTGAATTAATTTATTTTTATTGAAAGTAAAAATGGAATAGAAAACAAAACTAAAACAAAAAAGGGAAAAGTTAAACTGCAAACTCTAAACAGAATAATCTAAAGCTACCTTAATTTCAGATGAACATGGAGCGGAACAGCTGGCTGGATTTTAGCGGCGATTGCCCCAGCTGCAACCAAGTGAAGCTGTCGAACATGCTCAAGTCGGTGTTGTCCTCGAACATCCTCTATAATACTGCGAAATAAGCCTAAAAATATAGCTAACTAACCTTAAACATTTAGAAGGCTCAACCCGCTCTCCCTGTTCGACGGCGTCAAGGATTTGGGCGACACTGTGATGATGCTCAGCAGCGTGGTAAGTTTTCAACGCAAAATTTCATCTCAAAAACGTTAAAAAGCCCGAATTCAACCCGTTTTAGCTCATCTACATCCTCGGCCTGCTCCTCGCCTACCAGGTCATCACACGCGTCATCATCCCGTGCTTCGAGTGCTGCGTATGTATTTCCAAGGCCGTCACCGAATGTCTGAGCTGTTGTCTTGGGTTTCTTTGCCATAGCCCTGGGGAGGTTGTGGAGAAGGAATCTATAAAAAAGGAAAAGCCGGAAACTGTCGAGTTGCTGAAGCCGGTGCGCCGGAGTAGTCGGCTGGAGCGCTCGGGTCCTAAGCGGGATCACGGCTTCAGGACTCCGTTCGACTCTTACATGACGCGATCGGAGGTCTAACGAATATAGTTTAATCTAGTTTTATGATTGTAATGACTAAAGAAAGCTAATTTTTAATTATGTTTTTGACTTGCAAGATGAATTTCCTCCTAATAGTCCTAATAGTCCTAATATTTTTGCAAGACCTAAAACATCCAGCCATTTTTTGAAGCCTAAGAGAAGGTATTAACTTGAAAACCCTTAAAAAATTTCCTAAAACTCTCGAAAAATCCTTTCGAACCCTAAAAAGTTCTAAATCTGGTTCTTTCGTATTACCGTGGCTTTTCCTTAGCAACCAATTTTTTAATTAAATTTACGAAGTGGTTATACATCTTTTTCAATTCCGAAACGTAAAAACTTTATAAAATGCTTCTTCGAGACAAGAAAAACAGGAGAAAAGTAAGGATTTTTCGATTAAAAATTACCAATTTAGCCAAAAATTCCACTTTTTTTTTCTAAGATTTCTCAGGTTTTTCAAGTGAAACCCCCCCCCCCCGTTAACGCGAAAGAACCCTAAACTCAGAATAAGATTGGCATGTACCCTCCCCTAACCGCAACCAATTTTCAGGGCTGGTGCTTCCGCGCGCTGCCCACGCGCGACGCCAAAGATGTGAAACGCCAGGAGACGCACTACCACATCGAGAGCCTCACCGTCACCGATCCCAAGCAGCTCCCGTCGATGCTCGCCTGTGCATGCGCCGAGTGTACCCATAAGCCGAAACATGCCAAATCGCCACCCCCGCGATACGGCAGCCCCGAGAATGGCATCGACATCTAAAACCAAGGGTCTGGAACCCCGAAAATAATTCATTATCATAATAGCTTTACGTTAACCTTTGTCGTTGATCGTTGATTCTTCATAATTTGCGGTGATGCGTGTGTGCTAGTCTAAAACTCGGTGCTGGCGGGAAATTCGATGCTAAAGATGAAAACTGTATAAAAATGGCCGCCAGCGCTTCCTTTGAAAAGTTGCGGCGAGTTTTAAAAATGCAAAAATAGGCTTAAAAAGCATACTTTATAATTTTTTACGTTTTTTCCTATTACTCTCGGCGGAACTCAATATTGACGTTGCCAAGTCGTAAAAACGAAAATCTAAGTTAAAAAAAAGGCATATTTTACGCCAAGTTTTTCCTTTAAACTCCCGCAACTCTTTTAAAACTAAGAACCTTTACACTTTCCCACCCTTGAAACCATTATTCTACTACTTTCCCCGCATGTCACCCCCGATTTGACATTACCCGATCTTCGCCCCGAGATTTTCCGGCTCTAGTCGCCCCAATTTCCCAATTTCCCATCCTCCCAAAAGCTTTTACCCCACCCCAAAGATACATGACCGCCCAATCCGATCTAAAGATATTCCACCGCCTTTGAGTTTTCCTAAACATACCGGTTCCCCTTTGTGGTCCCCACAAACAGTGCCGACTTCGCCATTTAATTTCATGTTGCCAACCTTTGCCCCGCCATCAGCGTAATATTCATTGCCTTGTATAACCCCGAGATTTGTAACCGTGCCAAAAATATCATATTTACCCACAACGCCCTTATATCTGGCCAAAAAGCATTTCCCCCTCCACCCCGATACCGGTATCTTGGCTGTGAAGAGCCGCTCATAATGTGCTGTTAATGTGATAAGACTCGATTATGTGCCTTTCCTAAATAAATTTATGAAGTATCGAGAATCAATTTGGGGATATGCACAGTAACGTTGATAACGCCACTTATAGGACGATGAAGAAGAAGAAGGTACCTCCCCGGCGCCCGGCGCAAGTGCTGACGGCAAGAGAACCAAAAAACTGATCTCATGCGCCTTTCAAGTCAGACTAAACTGATTGTTGCTATAGTAGCAAAACCATTATCCTATTTTACCAGCTGCCTGTCCAAGTAAGTATTAGACACCTGCTAAAAACGTGTAGTGATCAAAGCTCATCCTATGCTATTTGTTGTTATTCTCATTTGTGCACCTCGTCTCAAATAAATTTATAACGACTAGCGAAAAACAATCCGAGATCACATATTGAAATGATATAAAGGCAACTTATAGCAGAGAGCCCTTCTTGACCTTCTTTGGCGGGCCCATCGCAGCAGCCTCCGCACGTTTTGAAGCACCTAAAAACGCAAAGGATAAAGAAACAGAAAACTGACTTACCAGTAATAACATTTTTCCTCTTCATCGCCTCCTGGATGATTCGAGCGTTCAGTGTGTAGCTTTCCTCGGTTTCGCGCTAAAACAAATTTTTACGCAAATGTTCAGACTGTACCGCTTCAATTTCCTCCTCTTCCTCCTCAATGGTCGACACGGTGACGGAGCCTTGTTTGCCGTGATTCTTCACGTGCTTCAGCATCACCACCTAAAAATAGAAATAAAAACCCTCGTAGTAGAACCGACCTTCTTCGTTCGCTGCTCTTCATTCTGACCCGAGAATCCGCCGACTTCTGCCGATGAGAGTAATGCATCCTGAAAAGAAATGTTTGAAAAGATTCGGAAAATTACCTGAAAGATAAAAGTAGATTTCTTGAATGGATGTTGATAAAATAAGGGCACATTACATCCCTTGCAATTTTTGCGATATTGCTGCTCCAGGCCGAGTCCCTCCCTAAAAAAACGTTTTAAAGAAAATTTCTGATATACCTCTTGACATAAACCGTATCGCCGGCAGTCGCAAAAAATTTAGCTGTCGTCCGTAGCGGGTCGATCACTCGAGAACCGTCCCGTGTTCGAAAGGGGAGGCGCTTCAACAATGTGTCAGAAATTAGCGCCATCTAGGAAAAATTTTCCAAAAACAAATGATATCTACCTGGCCGCAAGTACAGTAATATGTGTGTAACGCCTTGACGAAGTACTCTTCACGATCTGCAGTCACTTCGAGTTTGCCGTCATCCCCATCTTGGTCCACGTGTTTCACCTAAAAAAATATAAAGAAGATCTATTTCCCATACCTCTAATGAGTCCTCTGTCACAATAGAAGTCGTGGCCATGTCGAGCTGTCTCCTATAAATTTATTTACCCAGTGTAACAAGGAACAACAGTATAGAAAGCAACAGAACGGAAGGTGGTCATTTGAAGGTAGCATCAAAACGACTTATCAGCAGCAACGAATTAATTTTAGAAATTTCGTAAACGCCAATTCGTTACTGCTGAACAATATATCACCGATCGTAAAAGGGGAAACATGAAACGAAGAAAATCCCAAAAACCAGAAAATTACGGAACAGTGGCACCGGATTTAAAAATCGTATTTGAATTCGAGGTAATCGTCGTCAAATTCTTGGACGCGCACATAACCATCTTCTCCGCCAGTCGCAATCTGGATGCCGTTCGGGTGGAAAGCCATCGTGTTGATGGGACCGAAATGGCCCTTGAAGCGGGCAAATTCCTCCTCGAATACCAAGTGGTAGAGCTTGGCCTCGAAATGACCGGCCGAGACGGCGGTTTGGGTGACCTGCATGGCGTCCTCTCCTCCTCCAAGGCAGACGTGGTCACGGATCGGGGAGATACAGGCAGAGTTCACCGGTCGTTCCGATCTGTACGTCTTCAACTGATCCAGGGTATTGACGTCCAAAAGCGCGGCCGTCTTGTCCTTAGAGGCGGAGATGATGAAAGCTCCGCAGGGGGAAAGTTGTAGGTCGTTGATGGCGTACTTATGCGACTTCTCATTGCTGGCATAAAAGTCTTCGGGACTCCTGACATCGTAGGCAAGGAGAAGTCCTCCCTCGCTGCCAACAGTAATCTTGTCGTCCATGGAGGAGAAGATGCTGGTGTTCACGGGCTGGTCGAACGTTGTGCGGAACAAATGTGTGTTGTTCTCCGGCAGCATCTGTTCGGGGTCACGAATATCAACGACGCACAGCGAGGCTTGGTTCTTGGTCATCTTCATCGTGGTGTAGGCGACCAGATTTCCGGAGTACGAAATGCTGATCGATCGAGCCGGGGTCTGCATTGAGATGGTGTTGAGGCACGCCCCGGTTTCCGTGTCCCACAAACGGACAGAATTGTCTCCGGAAGCGGTGGCCATATGCTTGGTGTCCCAGGTGACATCGAGATCCCAGACGACACCATTGTGTCCGGCGTAGGTTCCTATCCGCTCGCCATTGACGGTGTACCAAACGCAGGGCTCCTTGTTCTTGGCGGCGGAGAAAAGTAGATCGCCTTCACGATTGAAACGGACACGCGTGAGGGCACGATCGTGACCCTTCAAGGAAAGCGGGCGCATCCTGAAAATTAAAATCGTTTAGTTTGGCGAACCGGGGTGAAAAATGGAAGTGGATAGTTTCGAATCTTACATGGAAAATTGTCAGGAAAAATATCGATAATCGGCTCCGAACCGATCGAATCAAGTCATTAGAACGAAAATTAAACAATATTTAATACTTTATTGCATTCGTTGCTTGGCCGAACGGCGCATAGTTGAAAGCTATTTTCCTACACGTAAGACTGGAGAGACGGGCGGGTTATTAGAAAAAATACGAGCCTAAATAAAGTAATAAACAGGACACGTCTGAGCAAGAGGAGAATTGGCAACGATGCAAGGGGAATTTGTATGCCACAGGAAAAGCTTGAAGTTCTCACTTTCATCACGAAAAAGCCAAAAAATCGGGGGCAATTCGGGTGGAAGTGGACGTGGGGCATGCGCGAATTAAAGCTGTCAATGGGACACGGGTGTAGCGAGGGTCGGGGCTGGGAAAAAGAACAGTGGCTAACAAGCGTCAATGTTAGCAGTACACAAACAAAAATGGAATATTGGGATTTAGAATACAAAATAGTGGAATTTAGACCCTGAATAAACATGACTAACGTAAGGAATCAACGTGAGCTGGGCGTTAGGCATTGTTCAAGATCCGTCGCCGATCGTCATCCTCAAATTCGGTCTCCGCCGGGGATGGATGAGGTGGTGCCATCAGTGAGGAGCCACAGAGTGGCGTGTTGGGTGGAGGAGCACGATTCGAGACTGGCCCGGATTGGTGGCCCTAATTGGAAGTTCAGTTAGGCTTTCGAAGAAAATCCCTTACTCGTGAAGACATCATAACTCCACGGCCATGGCTCGGACCACCGAATACGCTCTCGCCCACCATCGATGCGTAGTCGTTGGTCTAAAGAAAATACTTGTTTGCTAGGGAATTTCCACGTTTTTATAAACCGAAACAAATTAAATAGCCTTTCGGGCAAAATTTCACGTTTCAAAGCAAAATTTCTATAGTTCTTCAAATTTCGTTTTGGAGGAACTGCTTACACTGCTTCTACTATTATAAACGTACGTTTCTAAAAATATCCACTGCAAAATATAAAAATAGCGAATTTCGGAAAAATATAGTTATCAAAACCAACCCCCGGGCTTTCGCATTCCCGCAGGCGGCCATTCATCGGTCTCGAAGTGAACAGCGTAATCGGCGATATCGGCCACGTCTGTTGTGTCATATCGCCGTTATTCAGCGGGTTCATCAGCATCGTGCTCGGCGCGGCTCCATACGCGCCGCCATTCATCAGGCGTCCGCGAGTAGTTGGGCTTCCACAATAAGTGATCTAAAGAAATCTATGAAAATATGTTGCAACACACCTCAGTCGTAGCTTCAATCTTTCCGGTGCCACCGCTCGTGTTGGCCTGACACTCGGAGCCGAGTCGGGCTTCTAAAATGCTCGTAAAACTCAAAAAGTTATGGAAATTACCATCGAAAACGTAATAACACTTGGCGGTGAACAGCTTCTTGCTGACGACGTGCTTGATATATCCATGACCGAGGAGTTGGGCGGCATATCTAAAGCAATCTAAATCAGCGATAAAAATATTTATACTTTTTGGCATCTTTTCGATCCTGTAGATCACCAACATGCTGGAGGAGCCACTCGATAAAATGGCTGCCTAAAGTAGATTTTTAGCGACGTTACAACTACCAATTGCCTCTAAACAAAAAACCTACCAACGAACGATTTCGGAACCGGTATTTTCAGCCATTTCCGGTCCTTGATCACCAGGCCAGAGTCGGGACGAGCGGCGGCCCGAAGAACAACGGCAGGATCCATTTTGTAGGAGAGCTTGATGTGCGGGTCCATGCTTGGGATACGTTGCTCTAGACAACACTAGTTAGGCTGTAAAAATGTTCTGACCATTTCGTTGATTCTCACGTCGTCTCTCGGCCTCATCAAGGGCAGAGCGTGGCAACGGGGCACCATTTCGGCGTTCGTAGTATCTAAAACAAAATTGGAACGCTGAAACAAACGACATACAATCTCTGCTCTTCCTCGTCGTCCGTTTCCGCGTCCAGGGTCCCTTCACCAAATGTGCGCTCCATTTCCGAGGTGGTCTCATCGGGGAGCAGCCCCTTCTTGATCCTTTCTGTGTAGTGCGCAGCAGAGCTGACCCATGTGGGAATATCTAAAAAAAACGTTTAAAAATTGTAAATCCGCTACCTAAAGGCATCGTTTGATCCCCAGCAGTCAACGTCGTCAGCGTTTCAGTATACGAATCGGAGAGATGACCCTTGGCAACGTAGAGGGTCAGTGGCCTAAAAATTTACACTAGACAAGTTAAAAAAAATTTACTTTCGCTCGTGAGCCACTCTTCGCAGACACTCAATCGCTTCTTGCTCCGTGAAATGTTCGAAAGACTGTTGGTTCACAGAGATGATCTGATCTCCAACGTTGATCCGTCCATCTTGTGCCACAACGCTGCCTAAGTTTTTTTTTGCTTTTAGACATATAATAAAAACTCACCAGGTGTAATATCACTGATGATCACAGCCCCATTGAAAGGCACGACACAAATCCCGAGGTAGGAATTTTCATCCAACGGCAAACGGATCTCCATGATCTGAGGTAACGTCAATGAGGTGCGGCTACTTTCGGTGACACTGCTGATCGTGCTGGGGACATATGCCTTTCGGTACCTAAATAAGAAATAAAAAATAAGATTATATAAGCCTGTTAGATACCTTTCTTTCCGTGGCTTCCTTTTTCTCCTTTCGCCAGGTCGCACGGCCACAGTATCATAATGTGACGAATCTGTGATGGACGACAACCTGACAACAGTCGGTTTTGTAGTGATGAGGATCAGTTACCTTGAATTCTCATTGTAACCATAGGGATCCTCGGAATTAGACGTATAAAATTCGGCCAAATGCTCTCCAGCGCGTCCTAAATCTAACGTCAGAGAGAACAAGATTCTCATACTGCTCAAAACGGTCGTCCCCCGGCTGCTAACAGACGGCACTGAGGCTGCAAATGCTGAGTCCAGTGCTTCCAAAGAGCGACGGCGTCTCATCTAAATTTCCAGTCCTTCAAAAGCTCTTGACATGCACTTACCGGTACTCTTTCCCCATATCTTCCTTCGTATCCGCCATAATCTCCTTGCTTTGTACCCATTTTCCGGGGGAGAGTGCCGGAGTGCCGGGGGAGCGTGCCAGAACCATCTGTAACACTTGTAAATCAAACACTCTTCCTTACTGGTCAATGAAAGCAGAAACAATTCGAAAAGACCGTTGCTCGACTTCTTCAATTTACAGTGATCATCGGGCAGTTCCAGCTTCACTTCGCTAAATGGGAAATTACGGAAAAAAAATTGAAAATATACCATCCCAGATCCTTGTCGATGGCCTTGCAATAGTATTTGTAGCCACGGTTTGCAAACGAGAACACCTAAAAAATGATAAATTCCTTTTTTCAACGGCCTACCGCCAAGAAATCGCCCAATGTTGGTGTGGATGGGGTGTCAGGGATTTCAATGACGTAGGGAGTCTTCTTCTCGTCAATGTAGTAGTAAACCTAAAGAAATGAATTAATGAGGGTCGCCTGAAACTTGCTTTGACTTTCTGGAGAACATCCGATGGCTGATTTTCGGCTAGCGACGAGGACGATTCGGCGATGGACATCTCGCCGAGGCTGTAGAGCGTCGGCTCATCCTCCATGACGGAGGCCATAAGAGTAGCTTTTTTAAAATTAGCTTGGTAATGAATTTGAGGCTAGTATAGAATTTCCGGCAGTACGACAGGATTTGAGTTGCGCTTGACGGCCGATGCGGGGTGGGTTCCGGGTGGAATGACTTGCGGGGAAGGGGTTAGGTACGAGAGAGGACGGGGTGAGGAGAACGAGAGAACACGGGATCGAGGAGAGAGCAGGGTGTTCCGGTCATTGAAACCGGGAGGACAAATGGAATTGGGAAACTTTGAAAACGGGTTTTTGGTAAAGGATGTTTATAAAAAATTCTTGTTAGTTTTTATAGTTTTCTTTGCTTTTCTTCACTTTCAACTGTTCGAATGATCATTTTCAGGATCTCCGCTTGCAAGTGCTAATATGGCCGGTGTACGCGGTAAGCTGAACTCAATCTATCAGAATTTTCTATTTTCAGCCGTCGTCTTCCTCTCATTGGCCGGTGTGCTCGGGCTGACGCTTCTCGTGCTCGGATGTGCACTGCCAATGTTTGGGTAGGTCATATTTGCCGTTCCAAATTGCTCTTTACAGGAACTGGTGGCCAATGTTCGTGATCTCATTCTACATTGTCGTTCCGCTACCACTGATGATTGCAAAGCATTTTCAAGAGGTAAATCTTATATGTTTTTTTTGCTTACGTTTTTCGAGTCCAGTTTAGCCCTGCCAGTTTCAACTTTTATAACTTTCCTTCACTTTGTGCTACAACGCTGTGGAGTATACCGAAATTTTCGCCTTGTTATCTAGAGTCAGAAGTCATTAGAATGATCAGTATATTTTAGTAAAAAATGGCCGAAAATTGAATTAGAAAAGTCGACATTTTTGGCTGGGATCGATTACTAGTTAGGGTTGAATTTTCAAGCTTTCAAAACGCGTTTTTTTTCAGGATATGGACGGAACGAGTGCCTGCATCGAGCTGGCGCTATTCATCACGACCGGGATTGTCGTTTCGGCCTTCGCTCTGCCGACCGTCTTGGCGCACTGTGGAGCGGTGAGTAACTGGCTTGTCATCTTCGCGGTCGAATGTGAAGCTCTGGGGCGCCGTTTGCTTGTCGGAGCCTTGTTTTATCCCCGATGCTCCCCAGCTCTTCCTTTGTACCGTTGTGCTCGATTCCTTTGCACGATCCTATCCAATCGCATGCCAACCCTGTGCGCCGTCGTATTGTATGGCCACTGTGAGAGTGGTCCCCGTTTCAGATTAAAGCCGGCTCGTGTGTGCTCACCGAAATCGCGAATGTTGTCATGTTCGGCACGATTTGCGCGTACTTCTATCTGCATCGGGACGACGACTCGGGAAGCTATGGAGCATCTATTTTCTAGGCCAATATAAGGTAGTTTCGAACCGTCGTCCCTCTCCGCCGCCCTTTGTTTCTAACTCCTGTGTGCTTGATTTGGTGCTTTTGCAATATCGGGGTGGGGTCATATTTTTTCCTTGAAATCCGGCTAGTCCTAGTAATGTATTGGAAAGTATTTCTAATCGTTTTGATAAACTTTCGTTAGATTACAAGCGGAATGCCATTTAGAACATTTTAAAAATTTTAGAAAATGAAATTTTTGGTCGAAAATAGTTCATCTACTTTTGTACGGTTTTAATAAAAGTTTTTTAGCCTTTTAAACTAGAAATGCAGCTTTAAAAAGTTCTTTTATCTACATTCTTAAAAATGGATGATAGGGAAAAAGTTCACCTCCCACGATATTGCCAAAGAACCTTTGACTTCGATAGTCTTCCGTAAATTTGCGCAATTTCAAAGTTTCAGATCCACGGCACGGTCGTCGTTCTCGTCTGGATGGCCAACACCATATTCTTCGGCGCCATATTCTCCTACTTCAGGACGTTCAACCGTGAGGAAATGCACGAGCTGGCCCTGTGGTAGTTAACTTGATTTTGATATGTTGTGCTGCGTAGCTTACCCTTCCCCCCTCAATGACGAGTATCTTTTGCAACGTTTATATGCTTTTGTACATATGGTGCGGTGTCGCGAAGCATTGATGCATAAATATTTACTAATCACATGGGAGGTGGTGTATCACAGGATAAAATTTACGCCTAGGAATTTCGGAAACCGAGGTTTGCGATTGATTATTGGGTGCGATCGGAGTCGGAGATCATATCGTACAAGAAGGGGCTATCAATGACCGCGGCTCCGACGGCAACACCTCCTTCATTGACATCTTTGCCTTTGCTGCGTAGAATATGGCCACCGGTTCGGGCCGTGACCTCACCGTCTAGCTCTGCGTAGGCATATCTGAAAGCTTGGATTCGAATTTATCATTTTTTGGTGCAATGATAGGCGTCTTGATCGCATTTAGCAATACTTGAAGTGCAAAAGCTATTTTGAAAGCTTCAAAAGATGTTTGATCGAAATTTTTGCCGAAAAATCCATTTTGTCATGTTTGTAAAATCACGTTCAGAAGTGCAGAAAGTAGATTTCAGAAAAAGTTACGGCATTTCTTTGAAGAGATGGTTCTCCTAAGGAACAGGTTTTTCTTACATACCCGTAAATGCCGAGTTCACCAACACATTCAGCCAACACAATTGGATGCTCAGCTCGCACGAGGTAGTTCTGAATTCCAAGATATTCACCTGATTTTAAAACGTACCTGCACCACTTCTGGGGCCAGTTTTTCCATCAAAATATGCGCAGCTTTTTCATCGACGGAAAGAGTTTTTAATTTTTCTGAAATTCGTAAAATTCAGGAGTAAAAATTTCAATACCAGCTATCTCATCGCCATAATAGTTCCCGGCGCCGCCCTCCAACTGTGGCTTGAGCACGTAGCGATCGGGGCTCTTCTCGGCGTGCTGAAATGTCTTTTTTTTCTTTGTAAATTTTCCTTACAGCAATAATTTTCAGGATGGCCGGCTCGGTGGTTTCGAGGGCCCACAGCCCGGCGAACGTGCTGCGGATAGCGGCGGCAGTTCGAGGATTGGGTGTAAATCTCTCGAGCACGCCATCTTCAGCGAGTACCTAAAGATTATTTTTATTGCGACCAGCATTAATTTACCTGTTGCACTTTCTTGGTGTTGGCCAGCTGGAGGCCGATCCATGGCGTTTTGATAGCAGCAGATTGTTCTGAAAAAAAGAGGGTTTTTAGACATACGGTTGAAAGATACCCATCAGCAGTCGAGCATCCCATTCAGCATCAGTGGGATAGTGGTCGGGCGAATAACCCGCTCGAAAATAGACGACTGATATCTAAACTAAATTAAATTTTAGGAAATTTTGCAACCTCATGCTTCTGATCGAGCATCAAACGCTTTTCAGAATCGAGTGCGAGCCTGTAACGATTTTTTCCGAAAGAATTTCCACTCACGTTTCATGGCACTGCGTCAGATTTCGACGATGCACCAGCGACGAGCCGATCCCGAGCTTTTCGAGCTCGTATTCGACATGGCGTTGGTCGAGTTGATTTTGGTTCACGTTTTCGACGACTACTAGGATGCCTGCATCGCTTTTGCCATAGGTTTTCCTGGAAAATCCTACTATATATAAAAAAATAGTGTCTGTGTGTCTGTGTGTGCCACTTTGCATGCAACTTCCGTCAGCGTGTCCGGAGGATATCTCAAGAGGGGAAGGGATGAAGTGGGCGTATGATACGTCATTAGACGCATAATGGCATGTAGATGACTGCACGCATATCAGATTTTGCAATTTCGATTGTTTTCGACATAAAAATTAAGTTTTTCCTTAAAAATCGGACAACCTCTTTGTTAGGAAAAATTAGCATGCGCCGGAAGTGGGAGTAGCCTATATAATCAGGGAGAGGACGCCTTTTGATTTCTGTGACATAAAAGTGCGGAAAGTTTATGCAAAGCGAGGGATATCATAGCGTTGGACGGGGCCAGGGTTGAAAAGTCGCGAAGCGGCTTTTCAACCCTGGTAAAGATTAATTTTATAAGGGCTCATAAAAAGCTCGGAAAGGAGTAACTACCATGCTGTAAATAGTGCTTCTCCAATCATGGCAATCGGTTCATTTCTGGGGCATGCTGATTCGATTTCTTGCTCCGTGTACCCGAGTTCAGCGAGGTGTCGCCTGAAAAATTGTATTTTTACAAATAAACAGACTTTTAAACAATACCTGTGCAATTTCGTCACTCTTTCGGCATGCCCTCCCATACTGGACGCAATATTGTTGACTTCAATCTAGAAAAAAGGCCGGAACTTGGAAATAATCATATTTTTATTGACCTGCTTCAGCGTCAGCTCCTTGCTAAACGTATCCTTGTGCGCCATGTAGTCAGATCGCTGGATTGCCAGGGTAAACGTTTGGGCGAGGCCTAGAAAAAGATATTAAAATCAGCTTTAGACAATTTGTACCTCCATCCAAGACTTTCTTGTAGATTTCAACCATTTTGCCGGTGAATTCATCGGTTTTCACAACGGCTTCATGGCATTTGATGAGAAAATCACGCTCGTGAGCCAGACCCAAGTAAAGTCGGGCTATATCCTAAAATAAAAGTTAAATTATATAGAAAATACCTTACATTTTGAACTTTTTCAGCGTGGGCGAACAGCTCTCGAGGGAATGGCGATGGCAGAAGGGAGAATGGCGCCGACATGCAGATATCACTTCGATCTTTCGCCTCGCGCGTTCTCATCACCAAACCGTTCGCCTAAAAAACGTAAATAGAACTTGTAATTACCGTTTGATAGCCTCGTAATAAACCCACATGTGCCCAGTCGACCGAATCTTCATGCAACTTCTTCAACAACCCATCATCCAGCGGCAATTTCGGGAAATCGGCCAGCAACACGCGTTTCCTGCCCGCGTCCGCCATCCGCTTCACCAATTGGACTACCTGGAAATAAGGAATTCATTTTATAGCCTTTATTTCAAAGCTTTAGTGAGGAAACAAGAAGCGGCGCGCGGGAGGCTTCATCATTCACCTTTCCGCCAGCCCGCATCAAGACTACAAACTACGTCACCACCCAAAAACGGGTCTCTTCCCAACTCTCGACCACCCACAAACAAACCTTATCGCCCCGCATCTTTGTGCTGAACGAGATTCAAGCTGATTTGGGTGGATGAAGCGGGAATAAGCATTTTCTGACAGACCACAGATGTAAATTGCCTGCCTAGGAATATAAAGCTACTGCAAAATGGGGGGCATCTTTCAAAAATTTTTAAAGCTTTTTAAGCAATTTTTAGCGCTGATAAACTTGTAGCTAGTGCCGGCGTCACTGAATTCAGCAAAAAGGAAAAGTGGCGAAAGGTTGACTGAAATTCATGTTTTTCTGACTTCTGTTTCTGGCCGGGTTTTTGTTCGTTTTAGAACCAGGATCCGTTAAAATCTCAAGAGCTACGGGGGGATTTAGTTTTATTCATTTTGGTTATAGGCTTTTAGTCGATACGTTTCAAGGGCGCGACAATGAGAATGAGAGGCACGCTTACTCGATCGTGGTGTCAAAAGGAGCAGAACGTAGTCGAAATTTAGAAATATTACTCGGTTATTTAATATTATTTGTTTATAACGAATTTTAGGCTTACTTTGGGCTTTGAAGGGTCGTGATTCACTTTATGGGTTTTTGATCAACTTAACGATTCTTTTTCCGAAATTTGGACATGTTTAAAATATGACAGAACAAATCTATGTAAGGTGATTTTTAAGGCATAGTCACTTCTAGCGAGAGAATTTCAGTCATAATCCCGACATTCAAAATCCAGACATTCAAAATGCCGACAGCCCGGATGCCGACAGCCAGAAACCGCAGATTTTCAAAACCATTTATGGGTAAAACGACCGGAAATATCACAATTTTGCTGTCGCGATTTTGGCTGTCGGGATTTAAGCTTTTACCGTCGCCAGATTATCGCGACTTCCTCTTCCCTCAAAAGCTGGCAGCAACATTTCGCGCATAGCCGATCAGCCGGTTGCGACAATCGCCCTCCTCCAGCCAGTCCCCTCTAAATAATGACCGCCACCATTCACTTTGATGCGTGGCCGCCAATTGGGCAATTAGTCCGATAGCCGGGGCGGACCAGCCAGTCCCCCCCCCGCCCCTGATTCTCAACGGTTGTCTTGAAGGGGCGGCCAACGGCTCGGGGGCCCGCTACCAGCGATAGAGGGCCCATGTCGACGAGCAATTATCGCGTGTGCAGAAGGGTCCCTCAGCAGTGGGCCCCTTCTACCAAAAGAGTGATGTAACGAGCCGCCCACCAACAACCCTTCTCTTCTTCTTCTTGAGAGGATAGGGGCCCACCACCAGATTTGGTAACTAGGCCCCCTTTCATGGGCAATTTTGGCCCAAGAAGAGATTTGGGTCGGGTCGGGGGCCATTGTGCATGTGAATACGATGCTCATTTTGGGGGGCTTGGATCTGGGGTTGGGTGGAAGTTGGGACCCAGACGGCCACGGGTAACTTAAGTTAGGCTAAGTTTAGCTGGGCCAAGTCTAGCGCTAAGTGGGACCAAGCCGAAACGAGATCCTAAGCTAACAAGGGAAGTGCACGAACTTAAGGTGGCCTTTCTTTTTCAAAATAAGTGGGTCTGATAGAGTCGAACACGGGGATTCCGAATCTGTAATCAGAATCTGCTAAATAAAACGGAGAAAAAAGTTATGAGGCTTCAAAGTTGGCAAAATCGACAAAAACGGTACCTTTAGCGGCCTGTAAAAGGCGCGGAAGCGGAATTGAGCAAAAACCGATTGGTGCATCTTGTTCAGCAGAAAAAGCTCTTTCGAATGAGCATTAATATGTAGCAATTACAGATAATTTGTCAAAAAGCTTGTTTTTATTCACAGGTAAGGGTAGAGCCTGTGGATGTCATCGAAGAGATTTCCGCGAAATCATCGTATACTTTTTGAATGATAGCCTAAGCCGAAAAGAAGCCTAATCAAACCTGCCGCCAAGCTGGGCTTGCGCCTGAACCTAAGCCAATTGTAAGCTCCGAAGTTGAGCTTAAGTCAAAACGAAGCTAAGCCTAAGTTAAGCGAAGTCTAAGCATAGCCCCAAGCTGTGCCTAATGTAAGCCTAACCCTGAGTTAAGCTCAGCTTTGGCTAAACCTAAGCCTAATCGTAAGCCTACGTTCAGCCAGGCTAATTAGTTTTTTATCTTCAGCTTAGGCTTAGGCTTCGGATTGTCAGCATAGGCTTAGCTTTCTCTTCGGCTCGCGTGGGCTTAAGCTTACGCTTTGCTATGGGTTTTCTTACGCCTGGCGTAGGCTGATAGGCTCAGGGTTTTTAGGCTGGTCTTAAGTTAGGCTTGTTTTTAAGCTTGGGCTTCTTAGTATAGTATTTAGTATTTTCGGGGCTACTTTTGAGGAAGCTTGTGCTTGCTTGCGCCTGGCTTATTAAGCTAGGCTTTTGATCTGGCTTAGCTTCGCTCACGCTAAGGTAAGGCGTAAGCTCAGCCTTAACTTTCCAGCTCCGAGCTTAGGGCCCAAATTTGGTCGAACGCAAGGATGTCCCTCACCCTCCAGGAAATGTTGTTGAAACGAGATTCCTGTTCAATTGACTGCCAATTGGCCTCGACCCTCCACTTATGGCACGTTGCCCTCGTTAGCCCATCCATTGGCGCGGGTTGGTTGAATTGACATCTTTTAGGGGGCAGGAGGGGGGGGGGCAGCAGGAGTCGAGAATTTGCACAACATTCCCCCTAATCAAGTCGAGACGCTAGCCGGCTGATTCGATTCGTTGTGGAGGGGGCAATGATGGCGGAATCTGAACAGCACCTTGAGGTGAGAGAGAGGGAGAGAGAGAGAGAGATAGGGAGAGAGCGCGAGAGTTAGAGAAATAGAGAGAGCAGATATTTTAAATAAGCTATTTTTTTAGCCAACCGGACTTCCGAATCCCTTTCAAGGGACGCACAGGAATACAGTTACCTCATCGCCAATACACCATTTGTAAAACGTTTTTCAATTCACCTTTCCCGAATTACTGTAGGCATCAAGCTACACCTTTTTCAGGCAAAAAATCAGTTCATATGGCACTTACAGCCCCGTTAAAATCACCCCTTTTTATTCGATGAACTTTCCGAGCCCCAACCGCCACCTCCAAAAACTCGGGTTCACCACCGGAAATTGGGCCCCCTGATGGGTCCCGTTGGCCCGCCAGCTTCTTCTTGGTGACGATACGTTTCTGGGAGAAGGCAAATGTTGTTGTTGGCGAAAATATGGATGGTCGTATCGTCAAAAGGGATACTGTAATTTGCAGGACAGGATAATTGATTTTCCAGGACAAGCAACGCGCCTGGTTTTTCGGCGGCTTGCGTCGCGTGCCTCGAAATTTCTGGCGAAATTTCTGTATCGCGATACCTTGCCGGTTCCTTTAAAATCAGCATCAGGAGGCTTGGGCGAAGCTCAATCGACCAGAATTAAGGCGAAAAGCTGAGATTACGGTAGCTTATCCTTCAAATATGCGAAAGCCCGTGAAGCTCGTGAAGCTTCAGATCCTTCCAGCCTTCTTTCCAGCCTTTGAAGTTCTGAAGCTTGTATCCGTTCTCCTGTCCTCTGAAATTCAAGTCCGGGCTTTCCGACAAGCCCAAAAGCTCGAGCTCAATTGTTGAGGAAAGCCGACTATGAGCTAGCCCGATATGAGAAGAAGCGACTTTTCCCCCGCCGGTTCCGGTTAAATCCAAAACCTTCAGGCCAAGCCTCCGAAGCCTAGCCCCCAAGTTCCCTGCCCCGGGCGTTGATTGGGCCCCGCCCAGTGGGCCCCGATTTCAGATGTGAGACGGGGGGTGTATGAGGAGGAGGGGGCGTGGCCCCAAGAAGGGAAACTGGGAGGAAACGGGTCCCGTCCGGAGACCGGACACCCATAGCCACAAGACTCGGAAACCCCAGGAAGCACCCCAGGAAGCCAGGCCTTCCTTCCTCTTCTTCTCCTCCGCTACCAAGCCCACAGCCATGCACTCGCCAAAGCCCGCTCATAAGGTTTGCCGGTTTTTTTTGAGGGTTTTTTTGGTGGGAGTTGACTACGGTAGCCAGGTCTAAGCGCATAATCTAAGTTTAATCCAAGCCAGGCCTAAGCCTAAGCCCAGCCTAAGCCTAGGCGAAACCCTTGGCCCAAATCAGCCTAAACTGAGGCAAGCCCAAGTCAAGCCTAAGCCAAGCCTCTGCATAAGCCAGGGCCCAAAGCTAAGCCTAAACTTAGGCCTAAGCCTATGAGAGGCCCAAGTCAACCCTAAGCCAAACCTAAGCCGAGGCCATGCGCAAGCCTAAATCAAGCCTACGCCAGGCCAAGCCCAAGCGAAGTCCTAGCCTAAGTCTAAGCCCTAGCATGAGACGAAGACTAAGCCCAAGCCTCGCCGGAAGCCAATTCGCAAGCCCAAGCCTAATAAGCCCAAGTCTAGGCCTAAGCCTAAGCCTCAGCCTAGTCCGAAGCTTACACCTAATTTTACGTAGCATTTCGTAGCTGAGTTACAGTAAGCTGTAGCTCAAGCTAATCCTACAGTAGGCCAAGCAAAGCCTAAAGCCATTTATCCGTTTTTTCCCTCGCCAAGCCCTTTAAAACACGAATTTTTCAGAAATACGATGATCCAATCCGACAAGCAAATGCCTGTGACGAGGCCGCGCTCCTCGCCGCCAACCAGCAACTCCAGAATACGTTCGGCGGATTTGTGGTTAGTTTTGGAGCGGAATCCACTGATTTTCCGCTAGTGTTCTTGTGTTTTCCGGGCCTAACCTCTCTAGAAAATCCAAGAAAAATGTGGCGAGAAATAGGGTTGGGTCGCGCCTGGGTGGCGCTTACCAGCTGTCAGCGCTTTTTTCGTGGGTCCGGCGCGCCTTTCTTGGGCTCTCCAATAATTCATCCAATGGCTTGTTCGGGTCACGGATTCGATTCCGGGCTTGATTTTAGTCTTAAATTACTTAAAGCATTTGCTTTAAAGGGGTCGGGATTTCGGTTTCGCGAAGCTTGGCTTGTTCTTGGCTTAGGCTTGGCTTAGGTTTGCCTTAGGTTTGGCTTACGCTTGGCTTAGGCTTGCCTAGGCTTGGTCCAGGCTGGGCCTAGGCTTGGCTTAGGTTGGCTTAGGCTTAGAAATCGACTTAGCTTCGTTTAGGCTTGACTTCGCCTGACTTAAGTTTGGCGTAGGCTTCATTTTAGCAGAAAAAGGGCCTTGTTAAGTGAAATCCTGTTTTAAAGGGTTCGGCAAGTCAAAAACGCGCTTCGTTAAATTTCGCACTATCCAATGTACGCTTTAAAAAAATTCCAAATTCGTTTTTGAGCTTCAACTCTGTTTGGAAAAATCCGTGCTGGCTTCCAGGCCCCCTAAAATGGCTCTGTTTTTACATCCTAATTTTTCATAATTTTTCCGAACTCTAAAGCGTTTAAAAACTGGTTTAAATCTGCAAAAAAATTAGACATTTGTGGGATCGTTTTATGGTTTAAAACACCTAGAAAATAACTTAGACAAAGTATTACCGAAAAATTAGCATAAAACAACCAAAAAACCCGGCCACGGCGGCATTTTTTAAACATCAAAGCCCGGGGGGCGCGTGGGAATGACCCGGAAGGGATCATTGGCGAGTCAGAACATTGGATCCTTTCTAGACGAATATTTCTTGGATTATGGTATCCACCAGCTAGGTACTAGAAGCTACGTGCCATTCCTATCGACATGTTCCAGGTCAATACCACTCGAGAATTCCAAGATCATCTCGTGCCCAAACACGAATCACCCCCGCCGGCACAGCAACTGCACTATGGTGGGTTGAAGTTTTCAATGCCGTGCATTAATGAAACCATAGTTACGCTTATGGACTATCGAGCCTTCAATGGTCCTTTAAAACGCCGAGAACCGTAATAAACAATAAAAACAATAACTTCAAACCGGGCTCGAAATTCTTAAAAATTCTCTGCTAGTTTGCTTTCAAACCACCTTCAAAAAGCCTCGATTCCTCCACGGCTCTCTGCTAGCTTGCCCTCAAAAACTTGTCAAATCAAGCCCCGCGATTCCTAAATGGTCACTGCTAGTTTGCTTCCTTAAAAAGCAGTTATGAATTTTGCAAAGAATCTTTGCTAGCTTGCCCGCCAACCCAGCTTTGCTATTCCTAAAGGATGCCTGTTAGTTTTCCTTGTCTTGCTTCAAAAACCGATTCTGGGATCCTCAGAGAATCTCTGCTAGCTTGCCCTCAAAGCCAGCTCTGCTATTCCTAAAGAACATCTGACAGTTTGCCTTGCTGTTTTTTCAAAAAACGGTTTTGGGCGCCTCAAAGAATCTCTGCTAGCTGGCCTTCTCAGCGTTTAGAAGCGTTTAAGGTACTTTTCCGCAAGATTACTATTGGCGCTAACTTGCCAAGGGCTGAATGCTAACTTGCCTTCTCGGCCCCTTTAAACCCAAAAACGTAGCTTTCTGCGAGAGACTTCATGACGGGAGCTTCCTTGGGGGTTATGCTGAATTAAAGTTGCCTTTACAGTTCCTTTAAAGCCAGAATTTTGTGTGTTCGAGCGCCGTTAGACCGGTCCGCTGGTTTACTATCGACCTAGATGCCTTCCACGTCCCTTGAAATCAAGATACCACCACTAGGTTTCGCTCCGGATTTTGGAGTGTTGACATGGCCGGGGGGGTGATGGCGGCTTCCTCACTTCCAGTCGGGACCCCAGAGGGCACCGGGTCTCCGATTTCCCCCTTCTTCGTTGCCCTTAAATGTCCTGCTCCCCTCTCTCAAAAGTGAGCATATGCCTTATGTGGTGGGGGCTCTTAGTGGGGGATAAAGTGGTCCTGGAGCCACGGCCCACCTCCCCCTCCCGCCTGGGGCTCAATTTCACAGGAAAGAGCGGCTTTCCGATTTTGACGCCCTCGTATTTAGGGTTTTTGGCTTTTCGGAGTTTTAGAAGAATCTGAAGCTATTTTAGTCATTGATGATGGTCTTGGGGATACGGTAGCTAGCTCGGCGTACAGCATTTCTCAAGGAATCAGTTGTGGAAAGCGTTTCCGCGAAGGCTCTCTGCTAGCTTGCCCAGGCATTCAAGGAGCGCTTGAGCAGGAGCTTAAGCCTCTGAGCGAGCTTTTCAAGCCCGCAAAGTTGAAGAGGCTTGATGGCTCGGCTCTCAAGCTTTCCAAGCCGAAAGAGCTGGTGAAGTTAAAAGGCAAGACAAAACAAGCGGAAGCTTAGGGACGAAGCCCAAGTTAGCGCCAAGCCGGTGCCTAATCTATGCTTAAGCCTAAGCCCAAGATTTGGTCTAAGCTAAGCTAGCGTCCTTTCTAAGTTAAGCCTAGACACAAGCCTAAGCCTGCGTCTGAGCCAAGCCTAGACCTAAGCCGAGCTTAAACCTAAACCTAAGTCCAAGTCTAAGCCTACGCCCAAAACTAAGCCTAAGCCCAAGCCTAAACCCCACTTCCTGCGCTTCCCCCGATTGTTGGCCGGGCATCTCCCCGGCCATGACTTCCCACCCCTCCTGCCGGATGGCGGTAACGCAATTCAGCCGTCCTCCTCCCCCATCGTCTTCTCGTGCTCCTCCTCCCCCTTCCGCTTCTCCTCTTGCTCCTCTTCATCCCCTATTCCGGTCGGGGCCCGGGCTTCTCCTGATTTCACGCCGTTGAATAGAAGCCGCGGCCCGGTGAAATCTACTCACACTCTATCCTATCTGCCTTGGCGATTGACACCTTTTTTGGGCGGTCCGCAACGCTAGAGAGCATGTTTTTTGAAGTTCTAGGCATTTTTGGACGTTTTACGACGTTATTGCACGATTTTAGGATTTTGGCAGTATGCCAGGGGTGTAATTTGGTGAAAAACGTAGTTGACCGATTATCTAGACATTTGTAGTCGTGCCAAGCTTTCGAAACACAAAAATAGCTTGTTCTACCTGAATTTCATGCCGTAATCGATTAGACGCGCGTAACCTGGTGTAAAGCGTAGCTTATTGGTTTTTAAGCGTCTGGTGACATCGAAAAATCTATCTTACACTTGAATTTCGTGTCGTAATCGATTACATCCGGGCCAGAAAAGCCGAACTGTTTACGTTACGATACGCTTACGTTTACGATACCATTGGATACTTTACGTTAGACTACGCAACGCTACGGTATTTTACGATACGGCTACGCTACATATATCCGATATTCCGCGGGAAATATGATTAGTAATTCCCATTTCACATCCTGACAAGCGTGAAAGCGTGAAAAACCAACATTGCCGGCACCTTTAAACCTTCGGATCTCCCTATTTGCATACATTTCCGGTGGCCAAAACAAGCAACACGCAGCCGCGAAACCGCAAAGGCAAGCTGGACCTCCCGCGTGGCCCGCCTTGCAAAAAGGTGTCAGGCGTAGCGTTTATTTTCTTGTGCGGTGCCCTCTTGAGGACGCGGGGGTGTTCACAGCTATTCAATAGCTAGGGGAGAGAGAGCGAGTGAGAGAGAGAGACGGGTCGCTACCGTATCCGGTTGGGGGCCCAGTGGGAGGCCAAAGGGGGCGGAAGTCTCGTTGCAGGGTGAGATGGGCCAGTAGATGGGCCAGAAAGGGACCCATTTTGGGGACAATTCCGTAAATAATTTCCGAAGGTTTCCTATGGACCTTGGTTTAAATAGTTTTCCTCTCTCTCTCTCTCTCTCTCTCTCTCTCTCTCTCTATGTCTCTCGCTATCCCTCTCACTCTCGCTATCTCAAGTTCTCTCTCACCCTCTCTCTCTCCCTCTCTCAGTCACGCTCTCTCGTTTCTAGCTAGTTACAGTATTAGTAGCTTCTCAAGAGCTCGTGAATTTTGTAAAAATTCCGAAAAGCTACCCTTTACGCGCATGTCAAAAGCTGCAATTCGGAATCCGCGACTTCATTTTCATAAACTTTGACTTTTTACCTGAGTTACGGCGTCGATGGCCCTTCAAGGAAGTTCTAAATTTTGTAAAAATGTCATTTCCGCGGCGCTACGACCTTTACGTTCATAGGTGTAACGCGGAATCTGCCCCTCTAATCGATAAAATCTCTAAATTCCAAGCCCAATTATCCGCTTTATCCTCCTAGCCATCCAGCCCCCCGCCAATTATTTCCGGTGCCATCCGCTGAATTACGGTAGCCGGGGGCCGGAAAACCCCCGGAAATTATTGCTCGAGGTACCGTAACCCCAGACGCCAAAAAAGCCGTTCTAAAAATTTAGTAAATTGCTGCGAAAACAATTAAAAATGACAATTTCCGATCGTTGCACTATTTCTACCGTAGTGCCATTTCCTAAAAATGACAAATCGTGCTTTGCAGGGATGAACCTCTCGATGCAGGCGTTCCACGCGGCTGCAGCAGCAACAAAAGAGGAACCGGTTAGTTTCAAAGGGGTTTTTGCGCGTTTAAAGGGCCAATGAAGTAAGGTTTTCATAGCGTAATCGATCAAAAATCGTGGCTAAAGAACTATTGAAGCCAGAGTTTCGTATCGTAATCGCTTGCCGAGTCGGGAGCTGTATATCTAGAAGCTAGGAGCTGTTTTCTCAAATCGACAAGTATTAAAC